CAGACCTTCTCGGCCCCTTGAAACTGGATGTGACGGGTACTGGTGAGTCGAGCATCATTTTGTCATGGGTCTGTGCAATGCTGGTGGTGGTACTAACCTCACATCGAAAGCCCCCTATTTGAATAACAAGAAAGCTTTAGCCTCGGGACAAGAAGAGGAGCCGGCCGTCGAGGAAGGGGACGAGTTCAAGCATGCCTTACCGCCTGTGCACGCCGGACCTGGCTCGAAGATAAGAATACCGCCGGCTCTGATGCCGGACGACCAGACTATCCTGCGCTATTTCGACCTCTATTTCGACCATATACATCCATACGTCCCAGTGCTCAACAAGGCCCAGCTGTATCGCCAGTGGCACACGAACCGCGAGTCAATCTCACCTCTGTTATTAGAAGCGATATTTGCAGTCGCAGAACGACTCGCAGACGAACCGGCGCAGGGCCAACAATGGATCGCTCTCGCCTCCAGTGAGTTCTCTTCCAGCAGCCATCTCACGCTTGCTGCTAACGCTCGCTGACTTCGCGTAGAACATGCCGATTCCTTCATGGATGTGCCGCGGCTGAGCACTCTCCAAGCGCTTCTCATCATACTCAAGGCCCGGGAAGCTGTGCCGAAACGCGGTTACTACTACCGGTCATGGATGTCCATCGTCCATTGCGTCGCCATGGCGCGGGATCTCGGCCTCGACGATCATTACCAGGATCACAAAGCCGGAAAGTCGTGCGGTGCGTCTCCGGCCGACTGCCTGACCAAGACCCGGGTATGGCAGACCATCTTTGTCTGTGAGACGATGATTGCCGCCCCGCAAGGTAAATTTCACACCCCTCAGGTTCTGCTCGTGTGCCTGTTCTCTCCGTGATCCTCATCCTAACTTTCTTTCTAGGGCGCAATGATTTATCCGTCGAGCTCGATACGTTGGACTTCAGCGTGCCGCAATCCATGCCCGGCATCGACGAGGACGAACTAAAGATCTCGCGAGACTTCATCTACTTTGCCAGGATCGTACGGATGATTTCAAAGATGAACATGGTCTATTCCAAAGTGAAGCGGAAGAAGGACTGGGGCCTCGATCCCGAATTCGTCCAGCTCAACCCACAGCTTCGAGCTTGGGTGACCGAACTGCCGCCTGAGATGAAGGTGACGTTTCCTGCGGACGGGTCGCCGCCGTGGTTGCCGTCTCACTTCGTCGGGAACGTGCACTCGTATTACTACTTGGCGACCATCCTGCTTCATCGGCCGCAGCTCAACTTCTTGGAGCCCATGGGGATCGACGGACAGTGGAAAAACCACATGATAATATGTTACTCAGCCGCGAAGGCCCTGTGCCGCCTGCAAGAGTCCATGCTTGAGTTGTTCGGGCTAAGTGGGCTCCAGTGCATGCAGAGGGGCATCAGCTTCACCATCTACGGTGTTCTCTCTTGCATCGTTCTTCATCTGGTAAGTCTCTCTTTCCCCGTCCTGCTTATACTCCTGTGGACTTTTATCACGTACTAACCGACACGACATTTTATAGGTCGCTTTAACCTCACCGGATCCAGATATAAATACGGACGCGAGGGATTATTTCACTCGGCACATGAGGATACTGGAGAAGACGATGGATTCCTGGCCACTACCAGAAATGCTAAAGCAAATAGACGCTGTGAGGGAGGCCTTCTCGTCAGATACCAGGAAGCCGTTTGTCTTGAAACCGAGCTTCCCCTACGGCAGTCCGCACCCCAGCACGCAATCCAGCCCGCCTCGCGCCGCTGCCTTCAAGCCCCCGATGCTGCGGACAACGTCGCTGGACCCGAATGTGGATGTCCACGGTGGCCACCACTCTCACGTCAGTTACCATCCCATCACGCCCATCTCTATTGTCTCCGGGGACAGCAAGGGTGACTCTCCTTCTATACAGTCGCTTTCCATGCTTGGGGGCGGTCAACCTTCCCAGCCACCGTCGCTTTCCCACGGAGTGCCCATGGGAGACCAGCCTACCTGGAACCCTGCGCGCATATTTGAGTAAGTCATCTGTCATTTGTTGTTATCTGTTGACCCTCGTTTCCATGATTGCGTGGCCGTTGGCTAACTCCACCTTACTACCACCCAGCCAATGGAACTCTACGTTTGGTACGCCGCTTCCAACTCAACCCTCGCCGGTGACTGCACAGTCCGGTTCTCTAAACATCTCCTCAGGTGCTCCCGAAGTTCCCACAAGTCAGGATATGGCCATTGCCAATGCGTCCCTGTCAGCCGCTCAGCCAACTCTGCCTCCGCAGCAGTACTCGGTCCCACCACCCCCCAATTTCATCACCCCGGCCATGTGGCAGGAGTCCGTAGCCAGCGTGTATGAGTCTGGGGCCCTCAAGCGGAACTGGGATTATGACAGTGCCGGCTCCATAACGGGGACCATGAACAAGCGGCGGTAAGTTGGTCGCTTTTTTGCAGGGCCGCCGCTGATCAATCATCTTATCCATTCGTACTTATTCTTTGGCTTTTCTTACACACGCCCCCCTCCCCAACCCGGGGGTTTTGATACCACCTTCTCTTCCTGGTCCATGACAGAAATATCATGATACCTTTTTTTCTTTTACATATATATGCCCTAGGACAGCGTTTACATACCACCTCCTTTTTTTTTTCTTTTCGCACGAGGCGAGCGTTTGGGAGCCGGGACTTGGTTTGGGGATTTTTCTTTTCATTGGACAGAGATTTAGACGTCTCATTCCCTTGCCTTAACAGCAAATATATATACATGTATAACATGGATGATGGACTACGGGCATATGGTTTTGGTATATATGGGGGAAGGCAGGGACGATGGATGGATGGATGGATGGATGGATGGATGGATGGATGGATGGATGGATGGACAAGGTCATACAAAAGAAGGCATCTCTCTCTCTGTCTCTCTGTTATCTTGTGTGTGAGTGTTTTTCCTCTCCCACCTGTATGGGCTGATGGATGGATGTAGCATTCTACAGCGGCGGCGTGTGTATATTGTTACATTACTCTACATATATCTATAAGACGCCGAGCGTTACCGTTCCGAACCGCGGATAAGCGAGGCGAGCTCGCGGAATGCCCCCCACACTCTGTCTGTGCCCCTTTTTATGTTTTACGTGGTGTTTTTATGCTAGATAGGAGGGACCTTAGAATGGGCCGTTTGTTGGATGGGATATAAAGAAGGGGGTTGGAGATAAAAGAGCAGGGCATGGGTTGGATAGGAAAATGAAGGGTACACAGGTGGTAGTGTTGGGGGATAGGATAGGGTACAGGCGGGATTAGTTATATTTGTGTTTTTGTTTTATCTGTTTTATTGGATTTATTTATCATTGTTTGATTTTATATATCATTGGTTAATTGTTATACACCAGGGACGGGCTGACTCTACTTTGAAGCAAGAGACATGCGGTTTGTTGTTGCCCTTGTCTAGTCTATAGCATGATCGTCTTAAGCATCCATGATAGATAGGGGCGTATATAATAGGATAAGTGATCGGTATTGGGGAGCGGGAGGCCTCATGGGTTTAGGAAATAGGTTGCTCGTGGGATGGTCGATGTTGTGTTTGTTATTATTTATTGTTGTTGGTGTTGTTGATAGATGGGCTTCCTTCCTTCCTTCCTACTTGGGACACCGACGTTGTGGTGTGTCGTGTGGTATGAGGTAGGTAGACTGGTAAGGGAGTATGGAAAGGTAGGGGGTGTATGATAGGGAGAGGGGATATGCTGTGTGCTGTGCCCTGATCTTGGACTGACTGCCATGACGACTCTTTAGATACTCCTGGCTTTCCTTTAAGTGAGAATAGACTATTGATGTCGGTTTTAAGGTGCTACGTAGAAAATGGACCTGACCTGGAATGGCATGACGGGTAACACAGACAATGACTTGACATCAAGAATGTACAAGTAGTGATGGTTGTTGATTTCATCAGTTTTCACGCGTACCCAACATAACTGTAAGTGCCTCTTTACCTACTTGCACAACCAGTTAGGTTAGACTACCTGTTGTAAATCCGGGGGGATGACTTTCAAGCAGTAAGTAATATCGATATATATACACAAATAATAAAAGGCATGTGGAAGAGCCAAGGCATCCTCCCGCGTCCAAGTTATCCTTTATAAATGGTAAGTGTGTCATGGCATGATAACCTTCGGTTAGACTAGCTGTTCTAGAAGCCTTCCTATTCAGGATGGAGTTTGTTGGAGAAAGACAAGGAGGGTGTATGGCTTAAGCCAAGACATTCATTCACCTGTCTGGCTCTCTATCAGTTCTAGAAGCCTTCCTTTTAGAGGTTGGGGTGTTGGGGTTGGGCAAGGGCAAGGGGAAACGGGGTGAGTAGGGGTGAGAGGAGGGGGAGGGGAGGCAAGGGGGTAATGGATAGATCATATAGGTAGATGGATGCATGTGTACCAGGGGCGTGGGATAAGACAGGGGAGAGGAAAAAGTCGGGAGGAGATAGGGGTATATACCTACCTAACCTTTACTTACTCAAGGTGTACAGGCTGGTATGTGTGTGTGTACGATGTTTGGAGGCTGGAATAGTCGCGACAGTTCAAGTAGAGCTGGGTGGCACTTGAGGTTACCACGTATAACGTAATCCGTCAGTGGTTCCGATTCGCTACGTCGTGTTCGTATATCCCACATTCATGAGCAGCCGCATCTATATCAGTACCTTGCTATAACACAGCATTATTGGATCTGTGTTATAATATAGAACGTTTGGAGATGGTTGCGAGAGCTTGTAGACAGTTCACTTTCCCTTTCTGGTGTTTTCAATTGCATGCTTGAAAGAAAAGAAACTATTATCACCTGATCGTGGGTTAACTATAAACTTGACTCACAGGTATCACTGTATGGTTGATTCTCATATTGGGAGGTAACCTAGGAAGGAGTATCAGAGTAATAGGGTTACTTGCCGAGGAAGAGAGGGAGACAACTTTCAAAACATGTGCCACTCACTACATGTGGATAGCGGACATAGGGTACAAAGCGGAGCCGAGTCGTCAACAATCAATGTGCTATCTTGAATGGTCTAGTGGTAAGGATACCTGCTTGTCATCAGCAAGGCAATACGCAGGTGGCCGGGGTTCGATTCCCCGTTCGAGAGTGTCTTTTTGATTTTCTTTCCTGCACAGTCTCCGTATTTGGTGATGTCGAGGGATTGCTTCTTTTTGATCTTGGTTGCGGCATTATGCTTAGTGAAGTTCTCTATCTTTTTGCTAGCACCTGATCGGTTGACCGCGACAGCGAGAAAAGGTGTTGCATGCAGACTGCAAGACTCGATACGGCCGAGTCTCTCTAGTCTGGATGCCAATAGCATCTGGCTCCCGGTCGTGGTCCTGCATGATGCATCGCTTGTTGGTCGGTTGGTGTAAGATTTTAGTGTCTAGACCATCCCCGCAGCGAGAAGCGGACATGGCTTCCGAAATACCTGCAAAAAGACAAGTTCGCGATTAGCGAGAACAACTAGAAGGTACACTAACTAAAAAATTGGTGTCCTATGAGATTACAGGGACATTGAATCCGATGACTTCGCCAGTCCTCTCATCGCGGTCAGCGAGCCTGGACATTTCACTAGGCACCTGTATCGGTGCAAGTAAGTGTCCAATATGAAACATGATAAAACCGCCGGCGACGGCGCGGGTTGCTTAATCGTTCGATACAGTCCCGGGATGCCGGAAAACAGGAACCGGGGCCTGGGACAAGACGCCACGGTCCGGTGGCTCCTTGTCGCCTCGGAGCCATGACGTCCGTGGGATGACGGTATGTTAGGGAATAATGGAGGCGTCTAGCTCGTCGTCGCTTATAAATAAGCTTATACATCCCCTTGTTTGCCGATCCCTCAAGCCTTGTCGGATCTGCTCGGTATCAATAAAAAAGGAACGATGCAGCTCCTCAACACCATCCTGACCAGCGCGCTCGCACTCGCGGGCCTCGGCGCTGCCGCGTCGCTCCAGCCGGTGAGCAACTTCGGCAGCAACCCGTCGGGGACCAAGATGTACATCTACGTGCCCGACTCGGTGAAGCCGAACCCGGCCATCGTCGTGGCCATCCACTACTGCACGGGCACGGCGCAGGCCTATTTCAACGGCACGCCGTACGCCAAGCTGGCCGACAAGTACGGCTACATCGCCATCTTCCCGGAGTCGCCCTACAGCGGCACCTGCTGGGACGTGTCCTCCAAGGCGGCCCTGACGCACGAGGGCGGCGCCGACAGCAACTCGATCGCCAACATGGTCAAGTATACGCTGGACAAGTACAAGGGTGATAAGAGCAGGGTCTTTGTTGTCGGATCTTCGTCGGGTGCCATGATGACGGTATGTCTCTTATTACTTGTCTTTCTCCTTATCCCCCGTCTCCCTTCTTCAATCCCTTAGACGGTCAGACCACATCGACTGACACTGATAATGCACCCAGAACGTGCTCGCGGCGACGTACCCCGAGGTGTTCGCGGCGGCCGTGGCCTACTCGGGCGTGCCGGCCACGTGCTTCTACACGGGCACGGTGGACGGGTGGAACAGCACGTGCGCGCAGGGCAAGCTGAACCTGAGCCAGGACTACTGGGCCAGCAAGGCGAGGGAGGCGTACCCGGGCTACAACGGCCCGCGGCCGCGCATGCGCATCCACCACGGCACGGCCGACACGACCGTGTACCCGCAGAACTACTACGAGTCCATCAAGCAGTGGACCGGCATCTTCGGCTACCCGACCACGGCCTCCAAGACGATCCCTAACAACCCGGCCTCGCCTTACACGAGGTACATCTTCGGTCCCAATGTCGAGGGTGTCTTGGGACAGGTATGTTTTCCCTTTCATCCAGCTATCCTTGCCATTTGGATGAAAACCCGACTGACTAACAACACTCCTCTCCAGGGCATCACTCACGCCATCGACCAGTTCGGCGAGGCAGACATGGAATGGTTCGGCATCTCGGTATGTTGCCCCTCCACTGACATCCGGCCGGCTTCAAAAGAAACTGAGTAGGTTAGACTGATGCTATTTCATTTTATTCTAGGGCACCGGCGCCACACCGACCACGACCAAGACGACAAGCGTCCCGACCACGACGCTCTCGACCAAGACCACGAGCGCCACGACGACGCCGACAGGCACTTTCGGACAGCCACACTGGGCCCAGTGCGGCGGTAACGGCTGGAGTGGAATGACTGTTGTACGTGATTCTGAACTTGTACCATTCCCCCGACGAAGAGATGGTTACTAACATTGGTCGTCTCGATTTAGTGCCAGAGCCCCTGGACGTGCCAGAAGCAGAACGACTGTAAGTGATAAAACCATGGTTTATGTGATGACATGAGCAAGGTTCCTATGCTAACGAGTGTTGCAGACTTCTGGCAATGCCTTTAAGCGAGATATGATTCCTAGATAGTGGCATATAGGGAGCAGGATAGGTAGGCACCATGTACGTAAATGTAGATGTAGATATATGCTTGTCACTGTTAATCTGTTTGCTGCAAAGGATTTGGTTCTCATCTTACAAAGCAGTTGATGTGTGAGTGAATCAAGTTGAAGTACGCACTGGGTATTATAAGACTCTTGAGGCAACAGTCATCAATTCGCACTGTCATGCAGGAGAGGACACGCAAATAAAAACGTGGGGTTCTTATTAATGTAATCAAGCACATGCAGCTCCCAATTCAAGTCGCGTCAGGATGCAAGCATCAAAAAAGTACCGATTGGTCAGTCATGAAAATGCGTTCCAATACTAAATCTCTCTACAACATACATCCACATCTCTATACCACATATTTCTAGAGGTCCTCACATCGATCAATATAACGCTCATTTACCCCGACTCTGATTGACCTCCACGTTCCTTACCAGCTCCTTCCCGATGGTGTCCAAATTGAGGTCGGCACCTTAAAGGCTCAAACAGTTGGGTACTGGCAAGTCGCTTGGCTTCGATATTCATCTCGGATTAAACCCTATTGATGATTCACGACGATAACGATATAAACGATGGGCGCCCTGTCTTTCCTCGGCAAAATCTACGATCTCGATACCCTCGACACCCGCTTCACCGTCTCGTCCAACACTCCCTACAAGGCGCATCTGGACACGCGGAACGATGCAGCGGCCGCGAGCAGGGACCGCGCTGCGAAGTGGAATACAAGTCGGGCGACCAAGTCGAGATGGAACACGACCGAGTTCTACCTCTACTACCTTGTCTTCATCTTTGCCGTCCCGTACATGTTCTGGGTCGCATACAACGCCTCACGAGTAACGCATCCGAATTACATCAACTACGCACGCTATCTGTCACCGGGCTGGATACCGGGCCGTAAGATAGTATGTCATCGAGACAGCAGTTCCTGTGTGGTGCACTGCGACGTGTGAGAGGCTAATAACCGCCAAAGGACGTGACCGACACGCAATACCGAAACCTGCGAAGGAACCTCCCTTACCTCGTCGCCCTTCTCGTCTTCCACCCGCTCCTCCGACGACTCTACAACTCCTTCACGTCCAGCGAAAGACCGAGCAATGGAGAAGTGCGCCCGACTCTGGAAGAAGCCGACCGGCGACTGGATCAACGGGCCTCCTACGACTTTGGCTTTGCCGTGCTGTTCCTCCTCGCCCTGCACGGAGTCTCGGCCTTTAAAGTGTTCACCATCCTATACCTCAACTACAACCTCGTTACCTCGTTGCCTCGCAGATACATACCCGTCGCGACCTGGGTCTTCAATATCGGCATCTTATTCGCAAACGAGCTGGGTCGCGGCTACAGGTTGAGGGAGGTTGGCGCTGCTCTGTCCGGCTTCGTATCGGGCGGCGCGGTCAGCGAGCCGAACAGCTTCCTGGCCGCCTGGGGAGGATGGCTGGACAGCTACGGTGGACTCATGAACCGGTGGGAGGTTCTCTTCAACATCACCGTCCTGCGCCTCGTCAGCTTTGATCTGGATTATTACTGGAGCTTGGACAGGAGGGACTCCAGCCCGGTCGAGGTAAGACCACGACTGCCAATCACAAGCCGGAGCATCATCTCTAATGGACCAAAAAAGAAACAGCTCGATCCTTCGTCCCTGAGCGAACGGGATCGGGTCGCCACTCCGGGGAAGCCCAGGGACTATTCGTTCCGGAACTACGTCGCATATGCGCTGTACGCGCCGCTGTACATCGCCGGACCCATCATCACCTTCAACGACTTCCTGTCCCAGCAGCGGTACAAGCCGGCGACGGTCGAGACGTCGCGGACGGTCCGGTACGGCCTCCGGTTCGTGCTCGCCTTCCTGGTCATGGAGGTGGTGCTGCACTACGACTACGTGCAGGCCATCGCCAAGTTCAGCCCGAGGTGGTCCGAGTACACGGCGTCGCAGCTGTGCGTGCTCAGCTTCATGAACCTGCACATGATCTGGCTGAAGCTGCTGCTGCCGTGGCGGCTGTTCCGGCTCTGGTCGCTCGTGGACGGCGTCGACCCGCCCGAGAACATGATCCGGTGCGTGAGCAACAACTGGAGCACGCTGGCCTTCTGGCGGTCGTGGCACCGCAGCTTCTACCGCTGGTCGCTGCGGTACATCTACGTGCCCCTAGGCGGGTCGAGCTTCCGGACCAAGCGCGAGGCGGCCCGGTCCGTGCTCACGTACGCCGTCGTCTTCACCTTTGTCGCCCTCTGGCACGACATCAAGCTCAACCTGCTCGTCTGGGGCTGGCTCATCGTCTTCTTCATGCTGCCCGAGATGGCCGCCGGCGCGCTCTTCCCGAAGCGCCGGTGGGAGGGCAGGCCGACGGCCTACCGCATGCTCTGCGCCGCCGGTGCCGTGGCCAACATCCTCATGATGATCATGGCGAATCTTGTCGGCTTCGCCTTTGGTATCGATGGGTTGAAGGCTATCCTGTCTGGCATCTTTTCTCAGTTCTCTGGTGTGTTGTGTGCATTTGCATTTGCTTTCAACCCCTTTTCTCTTTGGTCACTCACTCTTATGAAAATCCTAGCGGGATAATGACTGACTAATGCATGACAGGATACGTGTTCCTCGCTGGGGCTTGCACGGCGCTCTTTGTCGGTGTACAAGCCATGTTCGAGATCAGGGAGTCGGAGAAGAGGAGAGGTGTCGATTTAAGATGTTGATGATGCTTCCCTGATGCTCGAAT